TATGTAGCCTCAGGTAAGTTGTCTAAATTACAAAAGCATTATTAATTAATCAATTAATCATCCCCTGAAGTCCTACACTTGCATAAGCTTCTTAACAAGACAATTGAAATTAAATTATTAGGCGGCGGATGCTTTAAATAAGAATTCTACGGGAATAACTTATTTCGATCCACTGACATTGAACCTGTGTTAAAGTTATTCACTTTTGTGAATAACGTGTTCGAATCCATGAAACTCATTTCCCTATCCCTAGTATATTTGTAAATAATGCCAAATTGTTTTTAAAAAAAAAAATTCTACAGCATCATCAACGCGCCCCACTTCACAAAGTGATCCGAGGGCAATATTAGCCGTCACCTGATGGTGATTAAACCCATTGGTAACCATGAAATTAAGGGTTTTAAAGAAGACGAGATCAAGTGGGGCCTTCTTCGTGGCGATGATGGAATTAAAGATCTTCCTAGTGGAGGGGAAGGTACGGCGATCGAGGAGCTTTCGACTGCCGAGCGCTGTTCGGCCCTCTTGGAAGTTCGCCGCCCCTTTTCTGAGAGGATTTCTTGGGAAGGTGAAGAGGTGGGGTTGGTGTTTGCGTTTGCATTCAACCTAGGGCCTCTGCATTGCTAATGGTGGTCGGCGTTTCACGACGGCGGGATTTTTACCATTTGAGTAGTGCTACGAGCACTCGCCTCCTGCACTCTCCGGCCAACACTTCCATTTTTATTGGGCCACGTTATTTTGATTTAAGAGGTTGCGTTTCAAAACCCCAAAGCAAGCTTACGTGGCTCAATGAAAGTGGAAGTGTTCGCCGGAGAGTGCAGGAGGCGAGTGCCCCTAGCAATGTTCTTTACCATTTTCTTCCTCTTCGCTTCGGTCTTTCTCCTTTATGTTGACTCGGGTTTTCCGGAGTTTGAGACCGGGAAAGGGATTCTTTTGGGCTAGAACAACCCATTTAATTTTTGGGCCGCTCAAAAGATAAGGGCTTTCTTAAGGTATATATATTGATTGACCCAAAGAAAAAAGCAAGTCCCATGTCCAATCATTTTTTGTTCTGTTTTCCGTTGAAAAAAAAAATGACGGAATAAACAGAATAAAAAAATGTTTTTTAAATCCTACAGTAAAAGTATTAAGGAAAGTGATCAATGATATGATTTGTTCTTTACTGCAGGTATGAATCCATTACATTGGAAGTAGCACTTTGTTCTTGTTTCCTTTTATGACT